CAGGGTGGGCAAATAAAGGTGTGGCTCAATGTTTGCGGGGTAATTCTCCCTCCTTACACAAATATTAGGTTTCTGCTCGCCCCAAGTCTATTATTTGCCTTTGTTTCTTTTGTCTGTTTCTTTCAGGGGAAAATTGAACACACAATTCAACAGCGAAAAAAACAAGTGCAAGTTTTTCATCTTTACTTCCTCAAAATACAGGTTTCAGTTGGAAATGCTCCATCAAAGCTTTTGTTTCAACCAGTAAGCATCTGAGCTGAGCCTATGTGTTCGTTTAAAGACGTGCCACACATGTTAGTGAGGCAGTTGGACCAATCAGTGCCACGCAACACAAAGACCAACACTGTTCAGGGGAGGGAACAAGGAAATGAGGACTGGTGGAACCATCAACTGCTGTTACTTTACCTGGGTGCGGCGGGGCTGCCATAAAGACAGTGGTTTTTATATAGAAGTCCAACAGAACTGTACCTCCTTCTGTAAATGTCTGCGTCTTACAGAGTTCGCTGTCAGTAAAGACTTTTTCAGTTTTGACCGACTGAGACTGGCAATGCAGCCGTGGACTTTGATGGTACTTCTATGTACAGTAAAAATGTCAGCCTTTTTTGATTGTTGTTTCTACAGTATAGTACAACAGACAAACCTTCAGCTGAAGGGCCTCTTTATCAATTCTAAAAATGTCAAGGTGATATTTTTGGGTTGTCAGATAATTTGGACTATTGCTTTCATGAATTGTACTTAAACATGCAGAATGGTAAAAAAATGAGTCTCTGGAACAAGTTGTTAAATTGTTAAGTCTAGTGTCCTATAGCACAAAGAAAACGGTAACAGCACAAAAATAAGTAATACAGGATTAATGAACAACCCGTCAGAGAGAAGTCGTCACCCAGAAAACATCGTTACCAGACAGTGTTAGAACAACAGTCGTACAATCCAGCACTGTCAGGTAAGATGGATCCTGAGAGCCATTTCTGTTCCATGGGCCCCAGCCTGGATCTCACTGCCGCTGCTGCTGCTGCTGCTGCTGCTGCTGCTGCGGCTAACATTGAAAAGAAGTTTTGTCTGGATGCAGATGGCTATCATCATCATTACCAGGCAGTATTAGAGAAAGTGATGATATCCAATGCTGCCTCGTAAGATGGGGATAATCACCCAAACACAAAACATAGTGTAACTACACTTCAGTAGTGTTAACTGAGCTGAGACTTGACGAATTTAAGAACATATCAAAAATAATTGTATGCAAAATGCCTGAATACATTGGGGTAAAAGAAAGAACGTGAACTGAGAGTCCATACTCACAGCTCAACTCTGTGCATTGGCTGAGCCCTTGTTGTGGTTGAGATCTTTTTTTTTTAAACATGCTGTCACAGAAGACTGGGCCACAGTAGTTGTTAATGATTGCCCAAACCTGTTCCAACTAGTCTAAATCTATGGCACGGAAAGGCTGCGAGGGCTGCTTTTCTAAAAGTACACGGCAGTTACTACTTTTTAAAGCTATAGATCAAACACGTGAACAACCTCAAAAAGCCACCGAGCCAAAGTGGAGTCGGCCTCAGGGAGCCACTTCTGTTCCTTGTGCTGAATTCCAGCAGATAGGTAATATTCTTCTTTGAGTTTAAAAATGTTAAAATGTTTAAAATTAAACGTTTTAGAAAGGTTTAATGCAATGAAACACAAAAAAGTGAAATTTTCCCATTTTCTTTTTTGCCTATGGATCTTTGAGGCCGTTGTCTTTGTGTTTGCTGAGTGATGAAAGGCTGAAGGAATGCTGCTCAGCCCGACCTGAGGCTAAGCTGTGTGTGCGGAAGGTCAGTGAAACAGCCCTAGTTTACTCAATAACGTGGATCATTCACAGGTAGACCGCGTGAAATGCCCACACCCAAATCAGAATTTTGGGGCAAATAAAAAAACTTGACTTAAGGAGACAGTTAGCTCTATATCAACGTGTATAATCAGTTACCTTAGCTAACCAAACTGAGCTGAGGTGTAATGTTTACATTGTCTCCTCTATTTCTTTTAACAGAGCTTAGATTAAGTGAAGATTTCGTTTTTGCAAAGTAAAAAAAAAAAACACTGTTCTAACTATTACGAAAAAAAAAAAAACACCCGTCCACTGTTCTAACTATTACATCCATAGACATGACAAATTTCTCTGATAACAGAAGCCTGTTTGAAAAGGTGAGACCTCATTGTGTTCACTAAGAAAGAACAGGTTTCCAGTCATTCAGAAAGCAATGCAAAAGTGGAACACAAAAGCCAGGGAGGGAGAGGAGAAGAGAGAGAGAGAAAGAAAGAAAAGAGATTAGAAGGGAGGGAAATGTTCAGGAGAAAGAAGGTGGGGAAGGAAAATGGAGAATGCACCTGTAACCTTACCGTCATGAAAGGTACCCCAAGGAAAGAATGTAACAAAACCAAAGTAAAGTGAGCATATTTGGAGGGAGGGGGCTACAGAAAGAAAAAGGGAAGGAGAGAAGAAAAAAAAAAAAAGATCTTGAATTTCCAACCCGCTGCCTGAGAATGATGCGTCTTCCTCCCGGTCAGTCAGGCCCCATGAAATGAGAAAGCCAAGCAGACCTGCTCTCCCAGACTCTATTTAGTTAATCATCAGCATTATAACCCAGTGCTGCAGGCCCTCTGAGGAAGAGGCAGAGAGAGAGAAGGAGAGAGAGAGAGAGAGAGAGGAAAAGAGTGAAAAGAAAAAAGTTAGCCTGGGAAAATTGTAGCTGCTGGAAACGAGCTGTGAAATGAACAGTACCTGATCAAAGCGGAGCACGTCCTGTGTCACCCTGTTCAAATGTCTAACCGTGTCCAACTAACTTCCTCCACCTAAAATCTCCTCTCCTACACCTAGACATGGAGGCACAGTCAATCCCATTCATTTACACGACCCCCTGAGTAAGTGGGAGCCCCGACCCTTTACGGCCGCCCATGCTTTTCGCCTGTTGGAAGTGAAGCGTGATCAGGTAACTCTGCCTCTCTGTGCTGGAATGTGACTCCGTTGTGAAGTGAACAACCTGATAGGCAAACTGGCCTGGCCCTTAATCAATAGTTGCTGTCTTTGTAGGGGAAACAATGGCAGGGAAACCCAAAACCTTATTTAACTCCAGACGTTATCTCAGCGCCACCTACCTGAGCCTTTAGACCACTGAGGAGCAGTGTGGAAAGCTGTAATGATAAGGACAGTGATACGGTGGCCTCACGGTATAACATGTGTTTTATTTTCTAAATGTAAACGATGGTTAAATGTGAAGTCTGAAGGAGAGATGCAGCCTCACTACCTCTTATTTAATATTTAAATTTATAGGAAATAAAAATAAAAAAATTAGATTTTTTTAGTTTTTAGAGTTTTTTTGTTTTTGTTGAATTCTTTGTATCAGATTGAAGTGTAATTATCACTTATATAAATTATATTAAATTATTATAATTTGATTTAGTAATAAGTAATAACAGAGAGTGTGTGTGTGTACTATGAATAGCACCATGTCCACTCACGTCATTTTCCCTAAGGCTATGACATGTGACTTTACACCTGTGAAAAGTTTAAATCGATAAATAATTCCAAAAGGGGGCGGGGACTATTCTTTCAAAACATGGGAAAAAAGTTTACTTTTCCTAATTTTATTTTTTATTTTAAATGTTGAACCAGTCATTCTCAAACGCTTCCAAAGCTTGAGTTCAAATAAATGGCCCTTGGCCTTAACTGTGGCGTCACTCACACTATCAGCGGAATTCAAATGCAGCTTAAACTTGACCTTTCATCTCTACAGAGAGATAAGAGAAACGATTCCTTCTCATTTCAAACCCGTGACTCAAACAAGAACAGACAGCAGCTCCATTAAAGTCCATCTACCACTGCACCACTTCCTTCCCTCGCTCCTTTCTTCATTCCCTCTATCCTCTTCCTTTCCTTGCTCTATTAAAACCTGTTGTTCTGCTGAAACTCTACTCTGTACTTCCCGCCCTGTTGCCATAGACCTGTAGAGTGACTGGTGCTCATGTGACCCGCAGCTATTCAGGTTTATGAAAGAAATGAACAAATGTTGCCTTTCCACCAATCACGATCCTCCACCTCTCTCCACAGCCACCGCTGTACAGGCGGCTCTGCGGTCGACATTTTCCCTCCATTTTCCTCTTCCTCTTTCCTCACTGTGGCAGCCTGATCCTGTTTGCTCAACAACCATCCTGAGTCTAAAATCTGACTCATATGTTGTGGGATATGAGCTGAAATTAGTCCAACACTATCGTCTGCCTTTACCTGCAGCGAAACCTCAAAGACAACTGCAACAGCCCGCAGACATTTTATGTTTGGGACTGAAACATCCAGTAGATCTTACTGCTCATATTAGGAAATGGACAATTAAATTAAAATATTAGCAAATAATAACAATAATAAAAAAGCAAAAGTCCTGAGGTTTGTAAACTCGGAATAAAAAGAATTGTTGAAAATAAGTAATTGTTTGTTGAGTTGTTTCATACCGTACTTTCATCGATGTCTGCTGGTTCAACAAACTAAAAGACAGGAGTCAGACTCTCTCTTCATGTCCTTTGACAAGTCTGGCAGTTTGCCTCTACCTGCCCCAACTGGTCCATCCAGTTGAGGAATGAGCGTTGGCTTCTATTGTTTCCTCTTCTTCTGCTTAAATGGAACTGGAATTTGATACAAGCTATTTTCGCTTTTCCACCGAAACTGCCCTACCGACCTGCACACAATTGCCCAACGGCTTCGTGCTTCGTACAACTATCTAGTGTGAACGTACGTCCTTAAAGTTACAGCTCAGCGACAGGTTGCCAGAGGACGGCTTGATTCTTAAAGATGGAGAATAGAAACAAAGAAGGCTTCACGTTTGTGAATTTTACCCCGTCTTTTCCCAGGTGCAGTTGCGAGGCCGTAAACCCAAGACAAGAGGCATCATTGTATGTGGGCTCTCGACGCCCAGTTGGCCGCTCCCCCTCCTTCCCGCTCCTCCCGAAGTACAGTCTAC